TCTTCCTTATTCAGCTTCCGCATACATATGAGGCAATTAAAATACCAGGGCTTGAGTGAGGCGCACTTTAGCCCTTAAAGTGACACCTTTACTTTTTAACACTTTCGAGAGATTTTTTGCAGCAGATTTGCCCAAGGCAATGCATCTTTTGATATCTTGACTGCTGCTTCCATGAGGGTTGATTGTGGATCCAAGTAAAATGAAATTCTTGACAACTTCAATATTTTCTCCATTTACCGTGATGTTGCTTACCGGTCCAGTTGTGAGGATTTTTGTTTTCTTTATGTTGAGGTGTAATCCATACTGAAGGCTGTGGTCTTTGATCTTCATCAGTAGGTGCTTCATGTCCTCTTCACTTTCAGCAAGCAAGGCTGTTATCTGCATATCACAGGACGTTAATGAGTCTTCCTCCAATCCTGATGTCACATTATTTTTCATACAGTCCAGCTTCTCGGACTATTTGCTCAGCATACAGACTGAATTAGCATGGTGAAAGGATACAACCCTGATGCACACTTTTCCTGTCTTTAAACCATGCAGTATCCCCTTGCTCTGTTCAAATGACTACCTCTTAGTCTATGTACAGGTTCCTCATAAGCACAATTAAGTGTTTTGGAAATCCCTTTCTTTGCAGTGTTATCAGTAACTTGTTATGATCTGCACAGTCAATAAAACACAGGTAAACATCTTCCTCTGCTTTCAGCCAAGATGCACCTGACATCAGCAATGATATTCTTCCTTCCACATCCTTTTCTGAATCTGGCTTGAATTTCTGGCAGTTCCCTGACGGTGTACTGCTGCAACCACTTCTGAATGATCTTAAGCAAAATTTTACTTGTGTGCGATTATTAATGATATTGTTCAATAATTTCCACATTCTGATAGATCACCTTTCTTTGGTATGGGCACAAATACAGATCTCTTCCAGCTGGCTGGCCAGGTAGTTGTCTTCCAAATGTCTTGTCATAGACGAGGGACCACCTTCAGCCTACGTCCGTTCACTGAAACATCTCAACTGGTTTCCATCAGTTCCTGGAGCCTTGTTTTTCACTAATGCCTTCAGTGCAACTTAAACTTTTTCCTTCAGTACCATCAATTTCTCATCATATGCTATCTCCTAAGGTGGCTGAATGTTGACCAATTCTTTTTGGTACAGTGACTCTGGGTATTACTTGCCTCTTCTTTTGATGCTTCCTGGGTCGTTCAATATTTTCCCCATAGAATCCTTCAATTGTGCAACTCGAGGGTTGAAATTTTCCTTTAGTTCTTTTAGATTGAGAAATGCCAAGCGAGTTCTTCCCTTTTGGTTTCCTAACTGCAGGTTTTTGTACATTTCATTATAATACTTTACTTTGTCTTCTTGAGCTGCCTTTTGAAAACTTCAGCTCTTTAACATCATTTCTTCCGTTTGCTTTAGCGCCTCTATGTTCATGAACAAATTTCAGAGTCTCTTCTGACATGCATTTTGGTCTTTTCTGTGCTTCCTATCTTTTTAATGATCTTTTGCTTTCTTTATGTATGCTGTCCTTGATGTCATCCCACAACTTGTCTGGTCTTCAGTCATTAGTGTTCAGCGCATCAAATCTATTCTTGACATTGTCTCTTAATTCAGGTGGTATATACTCAAGGTCATATTTTGGCTCTCGTTGGAATTGCTCTAATTTTCTTCAGCTTTAACTTGAACTTCCATATGAGCAGTTGATGGCCTGTTCGGTAGTTAGCTCCTGTCCTTATTCTGACTGATGGTATTGAGCTTCTCCATCATCTCTTTCCACAGATGTAGTCGATTGGATTCCTGTGCATTCCATCCGGCGAGGTCTATGTGTATAGTCGTTTATGCTGTTGAAAAAAGGTATTTGCAATGAAGAAGTTTTTGGTCTTGCAAAATTCTATCATGCAATCTCCAGCATCATTTCTATCACCAAGGCCATATTTTTCAACTACCGATCCTTCTTCGTTTCCAACTTTCACATTCCAATCACCAGTAATTATCAATGTATCTTGACTACATGTTTGATCAATTTCAGACTTCAGAAGTTGGTAAAAGTCTTTAATTTCTTCAACTTTCGCCTCAGTGGTTGGTGGGTAAATTTGAATAATAGTCGTATTAATTGATCTTCCTTGTAGGCATATGGATATTATCAATGAGAGCACTGTACTTCAGGATAGATCTTGAAATGTTCTTTTTGACAATGAATGTGATGCCATTCCTCTTCAAGTTGTCATTCCTGGCACAGTAGACCATATGGCTGTCCAATTCAAAATGGCCAATACCAGTCCATTTCGGCTCACTAATGCCTAAGAATATTGATGTTTATGTGTTACACTTCATTTTTGATAACTTCCAATTTTCCTAGATTTGTAGTTTGTACTTCTGATGCTCCCATTATTAATGGATGTTTGCAGCTGTTTCTTCCTATTTTGAGTCGTGCCACATCGCAAACGAAGGTACCGAAAACTTGACTCCATCCACATCAAGGTCAACTCTACTTTGAGGAGGCCGCTTTTCCCCAGTCGTCTTTTGAGTGCCTTGCAACCTGAGAGACTCATCTTCTGGCACTATGTCAGACAACGTTCTGCTGCTCTTCATAAGGTTTTCACTGGCTAATACTTTCAGAAGTAGACCGTCAGGTCCTTCTTCCTAGTCTGTCTTCGTCTGGAAGCTCAGCTGAAACCTGCCCACCATGGTGACCCTGCTGGTATCTGAAATACCAATGGCATAGCTTCCAGCATCACAGCAACACACAAGCTGCCACAGTGTGACAAACTGACAGACGAGTGGTGTATAATATGATTTAAAATCAGAAAGTATGAGTCCTCCTACTTTGTTCTTTTCTTTCAACATTAGCTATTTGAAGCCTCTTGTCATTCTGTATAAAGTTGAGAATTGGTTTTTCCATTTCTGTAAAGAAGGCTATTGGAATTTTGATCGGGATTGCACTGAATCTATAGATCACTTATGGTAGTACTGATGTATTAACAATACTGAATCTTCCAATCCATGAACACGGAACATCTGTCCATTTATTTAAGTCTTCTTTAGTCTCTTCCAGTACTGTTTTATACTTTCCATTGTACAAGTCTTTCACATCCCTGGTTAAGTTTATTCTTAGGTATTTGATTCTCTCTGATTCTACTTTAAATGGAATTGTTTCCTTAATTTCCCTTTCAGGTTTCTAATTGCTGGTGTATTTGACACCCAGCTGATTTCTGTCTGTTGTCCTTGTACCCTGCAACTTCGCTAAATTCTTCTACGAGCGGACTCTGGGATTTTCTATATATAGGATCACGTCATCTGCAGACAGAGATTTTACTTTTTCTTCTTTTCCAATTTGGATACCTTCTATTTCTTTTTCTTGTCATACTGCTCTGGCTAGGACTTCTAGTACAGTATTGAATAGAAGTGGTGAGAGTGGGCCCCCTTGTCTTATTCCAATTTCAAGGGGAAAGCTCTCAGTCTTTCTCCATTAAGTATAAAGTTGGCTGTTAGCTTTTCATATATGTCCTGAATTATACCGAGGAACTTTCCTTCTATTCCAATATTCTTGAGGGTTTTCATCAAGAAAGGTGTAGGATTTTACTGAATGCTTTTTCTGCATCCATAGATATGATAGCGTGGTTCTCTTCTTTTGTTCTATTGATGCTGTCTATTACGTTGAGTGATGTTCTAATGTTGAACTATCCCTGCATTCCTCGAATAAATCCCACCTGATCAAGGTGTACGACTCTTTTAATTTGTGTCAATGCTTCGTTTTAAGAAAAGTTAATGCAGATCTTTTATCATCATTCTTCTGTGTTCACTTGCCCCTAACCCAAATCATTAGCCCCAAGCATCAGAAAGCAATGAGAGTCACCATTATATTCACTAGGCATCCCCTCACCCGTCTTCCGTTAAAGTCGCCATTAACATTACCCTGGGCATTGACCTTTTACCAGGCACTGCTTAACCTCCTGGCAATCCTCCTGGTCCCACCCTTCTAGGTCCTCACAGTGCTTGCTTTAGTTCTGTCTCTGCTGCCTGTTACACAAAGCCAGTACAGAGAGGTAGATTCATATTTCCAGAGTTTAATTCTCAACAGTCATTCTTGTCTTCGAATAATGGGCAACTTCCACAGTACTCTGCCTAGATTACTCCCTCCTTTAGAGAGATTTCCTAGCTGCTGACTACGTGTCCTGTACCATGTGCAGATTACAGACTAAGCTTGTCACAAATGCCAAGTGTCTCACATTGAAATGTCACAATGTGCAGAGGGCTTTTTAATTTTAAAAATAATAAGAGTTGCTTCTGGAACCTGTCATTTGACTGATTAAGATTACTAGACCTGCTAATATATGTAGGAGTGAACAAAGATGGAATTCCATCAAATGCAGCAGTTAATAGGGTCTTTTGAAAATTAACTTCTCAATTTCTCAATCACACATGAAACAAAAATAAAACTTATAAGGAAAAAAAGTTCATCCTAAAAGACCACGTTCTGCGCTAATGAAGCTGTAAGAAATTCTAAGTTTAACAATAACTGGACACAAGCACAAGTGTCCCTTGACTATAAAAACATGTAAAATTAATACTGGTTAAAGCAGCACCTCCTTCCCCAAATCCAACTACATGCAGAACTTGCATATAAGGGAGGATGAGGCCTCTGTCTGATCAAAAGCATTACTCTAATAAACCAAAACCAAACTTGTTGCTGTCAAATCGATTCTGACTCATAGTGATCCTACAGAACAGAGCACAACTGCCCCACTGGGTTTCCAAGGAGTACCTGGTGGACTTGAACTGCCAACCTTTTGGTTAGCAGCAGCAGCTCTTAAGCACTACACCACCAGGGTTTCCATTACTCTAACAGGTGCTCAGAAAATATCTGTAAAATGAACAAATGTTTTGACGTAAACACTAAGCACAATATAAGAAGTGGAGCTTAAGCCACGTTCATGAGACATGCATGTCATAGCTCCACCTCACGGAGAAGGGAAATCTAAGCACAGAGAAAGTTCCTCACGTCCTTGTCTCCGAGCGTCTCCAGCAGCAGCAGCAGGATGGTTTTGAAGTGCTCTTCCCAGACCCCTAGATTGTCTTCCCGGGTGATCTTGAGCAGCTCCAACAGCGCTCCTTTCCGCTCCTCCACCCGCTCGTTGTGGTTAGACAACTCTTTCAGAAGGTCCGCCACCAGGTCAGAATGGTCAATGGGTACTTGGGGAACAAACAAGACAGAAGTTAGTGCCTAAGGAAAAGCCCACTGCAGGTGGTCCCTCCGTGACGTTCGGCACCGTCTCACTGGTCTGTACTCCCTGCTCCCCTCAGAGGCGATCCTTCCTTGATCATTCTTGACCTTCACCCTGCTTTGTGGCCAGGCCCCTTCTCCCCACCCTCAGCAGACCACCTCACCAAATTAACTGTGGAACAGAGGTGTGATACCAGATGTTACATACCAATATTCAACGTCTTCACCCTTCCTTACTATCTTCCCCTTCTATTTCAGACAAAGAAGAGAAAACGCTGGTCTCCTCCAAAACTCCATCCTTGGCCCTCTTCTCTTCCCAACTTGTCTACCCCAAGCCACAGACTTAAGTCAGGCCCAAGCTGCTGGAACAGCCTCTTACCAGCATGCAATCCCACTCAAATCCGTTTTCCTCACAGTCCTCCTCACCATCACCACTGACTGACTAATATTCATTCATTCCCTTTTCTAATGTCCAGAGCTTAGTAACTGGCACAGTGAAAAAATACTAATCAAGGTGTTTGGACAAACAAACAAAAAACATGCTTTTCTCAAGCCTAACTGCCCCAGAAACTACCACAACTAACTCTTGAATTCTAATGAAGCAGAAATACTTGAGATACGCCCAAAAAATCCTATGCCTTTCAGATGCAGAAGACAACAACCCTGAGGTGCCATAAACCAACACGGAGAGAACTCTTTCTACCCCTGCTTCTGGAGTTACCAGCATCACAGCACAGCGCTCCTCTGAAAGGGCACAGAGGGAGCTGGGCCTCAAGAGCAACCTCATTCTTAATGGAGGAACACATCCCTAAGCCCCTGCAATACTGTCAGCACTCGGCTAAGGACTGAACTAATGGTATCTCATTTAATTCAACCCTATGGGTTAGGAGTCGTCTATTCACAGACTGCAAAACTTGCCCAAGATCACTGAGCATAAGTACTTGTAGCGCTGTGAACCATGGTTTATGTGGCAGAAAGGCATATCCTTTCCACGTACTTTTAAGAGAGCTCAGATTTGAATATTCACTCTAAACAGAGAGAATGAAAAAAAAATCCGAACAAGCCAGAGGTAGCTACTCATTAGAAAACAAACCAAAAAACCAGTCTCATGAGCTACTCACAAGGAACTCCTTAAACTTATACAGGCACATTTCTTTAGCGTCTAAGACGGGGCGCAAACACGTAGGATACCTGGAATGTTTAAGAACTCTACCCACTCTCCCCTCTTATTCTACCTTCTTCTTCAGGCCTTCTAGTACAGTGGTTGGATAATAAATAATAGCCAACATTCTAATCTCTATTCCACCTTAATGAAGACCAACAATGGATAAAATAAACCAGGTACCGATCCTACAACCTCTGAGAGGGAACAGTCCACTCTTCCTAGACAGTTACAATAAACATGTCATAATAAGCCATAATAAACACTATAGACCAGTAGTAGCCTATATCCCAGGAACAGATCTTGGGCGTACACTGCCTGGTGCCCCTGAAGCCACTTCTGCTCTCTGGCTCTCCCGTCTCAGGATCCCACAGCTGTCTAACCACTGACGAAGAGTGGAGTGTTCTCTCTGCTCCTCCGCCTCTCCCTCAGCCCTTCCCTCCGATGACTGCAGTCATGACCCTTTCTCCCGGAAGGCCAGGAGTTCTGGGAGGCAAGGGGCTATGTCTCATTTATCTTCCTGCCCTCACCAACCCACACACTTCGTGACACACAGCAGGGACTCAGGGAATGTTTGTTGACTGCTTGGGTTCTAATTTAATTCTTCATTCAAAATTGAAAAACAAACAAAAAATTCCAGCAGCCTTGGAAACAAGACAGATAAATTTAATTTTTAAAAATCACTATCAGGTTAAAATAAACCAAAACATGTGAACGTGACAGCAAGGTTAAAAAAAAAAAAAAAAGCACTAAGTTCCATATAAAAACATCACATACCAAAACATACGTAATCATCGGTTGCTCAACAATGAACACTGGTCTTAACATCGGAGTCAGAAAAAACAAAGACTACTTCTTGGCTCTGTGCCACACCAGCTAAGTTTGTTTGGGCAAGTAACTTAACCTTTCTGAACCTGTTTCTTAATTTCTAAAACAGGAATGAGTCCTTCCGCCTCACTTAGGTTACACAGTGAGACCTGCGAGCGCTGGAACACACAGGACTGCCTTGTTTTTCCAGGTCTCGTAGGTTTTCCCCCTTTGACAGGGTGCGGTCTTACACTTACCTGTAGCTATTAGTGAAAATATCTGAATTTTCTTTCTCTGACAGCTTTCGGCCTCACACAGCTTCTGCTTTCGCGGGTTTTACTAGATGTGTAACACTCAGCTTAGCACGTGGTAACCACGTGCTCAGTAAACCTTCTACCCTCTCTCCCATGGACAGCGCAAAAGTCAACATAAAGCAGCCCCAGGAAGATGTTAAAATGTTACAACCCCGGGGCGAGGTGAACTGGGAGAGGAGAGGTGAGAGGCCTTGAAAAGGCAGAGCCCTGTGCTGCCACTGCTCCGGCCTTCACGTCCCTCACCTCCCGCTCAGATCTCCGTCTGTCCGTCCAGCCTGGCTCCTTCGGGAACCTCCCCGCGCCCCCGCACAGCTAGCGCTGCTCCACTGCACAGTTGCCACAGGTGCAATTTTACGTGGCTTGTGTCATTGTTTCGTGCCTGCCTCCCTCACCAGACTCTGCATGTTTTCATTCACGTGGCAGCCTTCACACCTAGCACACAGTAGGAACTCAACAAGTAGGTGCTGGACAAATGCCTAAGCAGAACGGTGATTTCTGGATGGGGACGATCAAGTGAGAAAAACCAACCATCTCGCAGCTGCTCCATGTCGTCGTCAAACATGGCCTCCTTCAGGGCTGTCTTGTCGTAGGTGTTGATGGTATCCGAGTAGGGGTAGGGATTGTACTCTCGCGCTCGAGGTCCAGGGAAGGCCCGCGGAGGCTGGGTGTTGAGGAGGGAGGTCTTGTTGTCCAGCGCTGTCCGGCCGCCCTCCACCATCTCACTGCCTCCTCGGCCCTCAGTGGCGGGAGAGGCAACCCCCCCGTCGCGTGATACCTGGAGCAGAGCAGACTGTCAGTCCCTCCTCAGGGCTTTTAACAAACTTTTCCTCTGAATTTTCAGGGACGTGAGGAGACCACAGACTTCACATTTGAAATCCGGCCACTGACAAAAGGACAGTTATTGGGATTTCGATTTGTAAATATCTAATTCATAAATGTCAGAAAGGAAGCTGAACATGCCTACTTTTTCATCTATTCGTTAATTTACAGGTAATATCAGTTTTAACTTAATTACTCTTTGTAATTTGGTAATTAATTTTATTCATCCTTTTTTCTGAGGGACGAATGACAACTTTTCGTTTCATGTATTCTTCAAGGGTGTGGGTCAAATTCTGAAAAGGCCTTGAAAGCAGGTTCCATTCTTCAGGAACCTCAGTGCCAGCGTGCTGCCCCCCGGTGTTGTCAAGACAGCAGGCTCTTTCTCTGGGACGCACTGACAGGACACCAGTGAGACAAGTTCCCCCAACTGCCCTCACAAAATGTAAAGCAGCCCCACCGTCCAGAAATGCCTTTTGTACATTCCCACCAGGGGTGAGGCAGACAAGGCTGAGTGATTGCCAACAGGGGAGCGCTCACACCCTCCCAGGCAGATCACGCTCCCTTTGATCCCCTTTTTTCTGACTCTTACTATTGTTCTTTATGCTGGGTCCAAACCTACTTCCTTTGAAGGACACCCGTCCATTACCTAAGGACAGGTCTTCAGAATTTTCTGCACCTTACTTCTAGTATTTTCTGAATCTTGTCTTCCACAGCTTAAGCCCCTGGTCTCCAACCGGCCCACGTCCTGGTTCTGACCCACTTTGCTCTCAGGGGTCCTCTTCTCTGAGGAACACCTGCCTGACTGGCTCCCTGTGAGTGGAGGTGCCATCATGGAGCAAGTGTGGGCTGGCTGACTGTGGGGACACAGTGACACCGTCATCCTCATCACAGACACTGGGCTATATGACGGTGGCGGGACATTTCCAGGCACCAGGCTGCTATGGGGATTCCCGTGGCAAAGCCTTTCCTTGTGCTGCTGACAAGTACACATCCCTCGCTCATTTTGTGCTTGTGCGTTTTGTTCTTAACTCTCCCCCAAAAGATACCATTATTAGTTTAATTAAGATGTAAAAAGAATACATAATATATAAACATGAATGAATGAAGACTGAAAAAGTACAAAATCTTTAAGTTTTCTTCAGGTGGAAGATAATTTATGGGTGATTTGAATTTTTCTTTTTGTAATTGTCTTCTAAAAGTAAAACATATATTCTGATTATAATGGGAAAAATCATTTATAAAAGAAAGGGTTTTAAAAAACTTCAGACATTTTAAAAGTAAGGCCAAATCATTCTAGTTCTAATCACCTTTAATAAAACTCCTCCAAACCTTCCTAGCATTAAATATAATCTCTATTTAAAACAAAGCAGAACCATTTAGAAGTCAAACGGAACTTGGAAGGGATGCTCACTGTTATTTCTGTAGCTCTCCATAAGAACGGCCTTTCTCCTAAGCATCGACGGCCAGGTTTCTGCTTTTGTGAACCACCTTCTTGCTGGGTCCGGCATTCGTCCTTACTGACCTGGGTCTTACTAGATTGAGTCTATTCTTCACACTCCCGAGTCTGCCACATTTAATACACTTTACTTCTATCGTGGCCTCTTACTGAGAAGTCTGACGATCAGTGGCTGAGATGGTGAATGTACACAGCTTCTCAGCGTTTCACTTCCTCTCAGTGTGCTACCACCTCTCAGGGCCACATCCTCAGCAGGCCCACCTCAAACATCATATTTCCAGGGACCACCTCCTGACCCCGCCTTCTATCCTCCAGCAGAACTGGCCCCCACAAACATCACATTTCCAGGGACCACCTCCTGA